GTCCTTCTTTGGCCCCTAGATGCAGGACGATCGTTCGATCACGTCCTCATTTATTGAATTCTCACTCTGATGACAGATATCTGCCCACTCGATCAAGGTCAGGATCCATGGAGGTCGATTGACCTTCATCTAATAAAGAAAAATGGCATGGTCGTAAACCGAAGGGTTCTCCTCCACCTACATAAAAATGGCCACTTAGATACGGTGGAACTGTCAAAGTTTTCGTTCTAATCTCGATGACGTTTATAAGGCCTTGATCGACTCCTATCATCCCATGTGTCTCTCCTTACAGGAAACATTTCTGAAACCTGCTGATACAGTCGCCTTTCGGCAGTTTTCTTTGTGCCGGAATGACAGGTTGTGTGATGGAGGGGTGGCACTGCTGGTTGAAGGCCGTAAGAATTATGGCCTGTTTGAGCAATAACAATTTTATGGAGAGCATTTTACGTTTAATTTCATACATTTTCGAGGGGTGATGGATAAAATAGGGATGATAACATGCTAAGACAAAATTTGTCATGCGTGTTACACTAGTGGAAATTCAGGATTTTTTTATATACTTCCTTTTAGAATTAAGAACTTAGAACTTGTATAGTATTAAAACATGGATTATTAGCTGAGTATTTTATGCTATTCTAATTGGTATAACATAAACAAAATGTAGTTTAATAAAATTTTGAATGCTAGACACTAAAACATTGTGTCATGCGCAGTAAAAGGTACCCGTGCTGATAGGATTAACGTCAGTTCTCATCCTGTTCTTGTCGATATTCAACAACAACTGGCCCATTTTTCTCTGTCTTCTGTTTTTATCCAATTTTTCTGGATACCTGGCCACGTCAGTATTCACAGGAATGAGCTTTCTGACACCGCAGCAAAGTCTATCTGCTCTGGTGCTGTCACGGCCGTGCCTGTCCCAAACATGGACTATGGTCCTGTCTTCAAGGCGTGGCTTCGTGCCATTTGGCAGTCGACTTGGGATGAGCAATGTCATAACAAGCTTTTTCAGATCAAACCTTCTGTTGCTCTTTGGCCGTCTTGCTTCCATAAGGATCGGAAGGAGGAAGTTGTCCTGGCAAGGCTACGCATTGGTCACAGTTTTTTAACTCATCGTTTTTTTTTATCTGATATTGACCCACCATTGTGTAGCCTTTGTGACACTCAAGTCACAATAGCACACATTTTACTGTTGTGCCGTCGTTACGACTGTGAGCGGCAGCACCATTTTAGACACGTGTTTTGTAAAAGTTTACCCCTGACATTGGACAGTGTCATTAGTGATGGTGACACTGTCCGACTTGATTGTGTTTTTAATTTTTTTTATGAACAATTGGAATTTTTAATTGTATATAAATCTTTTATCCGAATTTTGTACATATTTTGGTTTTAACTCCCTGTATTTTTACATTTTACTCTAATTTACTTTCACTGTTTTTACCAGTTGTTTGGCGCAGATAGCCTCGTTGCTTTGTGCCATAAAACACCAAACAAACAACCAATCCTACATTTGGTTGACAATTTATTCTTATTTTCAACTTTACAATGTTTCTGAGGATGAATACTATCAAGGATGTGAAAATTGGTCCATATGCTCTAGCCACAATGTTTATTTTACTCTAATTTCGTTTTAATCTGGGTGATCCTTAACCTCCTAATGTCGAGGACAGGTTGTGGAACCTCATCTGTCCAGTAAAGGTTAGGTAGATACATAGATCAGAATAACTGTTTTTCTCCATCGTCATATTTCGGCAAACTGTCCCGTGACTTGCTGTCTCTTCTCATATGGATATCGAGTTCTCTTTCAGTTTTTGTTTCATAGAGCAGCTCTT